ACCATCATCATTGATTGTTCTCTTAAGCCCTGTTGCACATCTGATTAGCCTATGGGACGATTGTACTAGGGTCACCAAACCTTACACTCGAGAAACCCGCTAGCAAAGTTGATGCACATGTTGGCGTTCCAACTCTTGACACCTCGCTGAGCAGCTGTACTGGGAATAGATTCCGTTTTGATCTCTTCAATCTTGTTCAAGATACCCTGGGAGGTACGGAAGCCGACGATGATCTTTGGCACACCCAGCAGAAACGACTGGATCCAAAACTTCATAAGCTTTCGCTCAAAATTCTGCATCCCACGCTCATCGTGGATTTCCGCGTTGGTCTTGAGCTCTACCCAATTGATAGGGGCTCCTTTGTCCATGGGTTTCGAGTCCCAGACTAGATACGGAAATATCCTATTAGCTGATACCGTTTATATCGTACAGAAATGCTTCTCTTAGTAAACTTGGGATCGTGGGCTTACTGGCATCTACCTCACCACCTAAACAAATGATGGACTTGCCGATTCCAGTGCGTACTACAGAGCAGTATTGAGCCTTATTACTCACGACTTCTTGATCACGATTCTCGATATAGTCCCTGCTGGTCTCAGCCCACGTTGCTGGCAGAGTACTCAAGGTTTCGAATTTGTATCCTATTTCCAGATTAGCCAACGAATGTAACCAAAGAGAGACGAAAATAAATACCCCAATAACTCATAACATCAGGTGAAAACTGCGGTGGCGGTGGCGCTTGGTTGCCACGGCCCCGGTCCCAGCGCCGAGGTTTACTTTGTTGTCGCTGCTGTTCTTGCCGCGAAGCTACTTTATAGGCGTTGTTCTCTTCGATGAAGCTGTGAAGAGTAAGTCAATTTATAGCACAATATTCCAAGAGCCGAAGTTTACATACATGCAGCCCTGAAACTTCAGTTAGTACAATGTCTGCGTGTCGGCTGGGTTGAGGTTTCCAGTCACCTACTTGATAAAGCGTAGCATTCATCTCGAAACTAGCAAGAGGGATTGGTTAGGTGGATGGCAACAAGGTTTTTGAACTGTATTCTTATGGTTATCATACCCATCTCTATCCTCAAAGAGAGCAGACATGATCTGACCCAATTATATCAGCGCGAGATGTTCTTATAGCCCGCAAGGGAATTTCCTACCTTTGTCATCATGCCGCGCCAGGTAACAATTTCAGCATCTATCTTCTTGCCTTCTTCCTGCTCATGAGCCATGATGGTCTTGAGCAAGCTGTCAAGGTGTTCGTCGGCAGAGTCATCATGGCTGTCAAAAGTCTCGAAACCTACAGACAGATCCGCGCCTAGTCTGGGCGGATAATACCACCTAAGGGAAGAGTCGCCGAGGTGGAACTCGTGTTTATCGTCATATGAGAAGCAAGCTATCTCCTTAACAACAGGTCAGAAAAGAAACACCACAAATCTGTTCCGTTCCCCAAGGAATTAGACCGCCGAAGAAATACGCCTAGCATCTGGCAGCATATCTGCCGGATGGCTGGCAATGAAGACATACTCTGGGGCGTTTCACGGCTTGACTTTCGCCGCTGAACCGGCCAATCGGCTGAATATCGAACGTGCCGGACATGACCTTTATGCAGGCATATTAGAGCTGAGAGGAAGAGGAAGCCAAGAGGCTCCAAATGGGAAGGAAGAGAAGAATCTCACTAAAGAGCTCAAAGCTAGCTCAAAGCTTGGAGTTGCTCTCCAAAGTCGCGTCCTGGCCCGGGCCCAGGAATTTTGCTAGAGTTGTATAATCTCGAAGCGGCAACTTTGAGGTAAAGTTCCATTAGTTTAGTGGATTCCTTGGGCGGCACGTTTTTCGGTAGGGGAGCTGCAACCCCCTGTAACGCGCCCACCATTGGCTACCCTAGGGTAGCTACTAACTTTATGTCTGCAGCAAGATCCCCCACCCCGCAGCCCGTTGCGTCCAGGTTGACCCAGCAAGGGAGAGAGCTCAAGTAAACATTACGCTCAACCTTGCCCGCTTTTGAGGCTGGCATTGAGATGCCATCGTCAAAGGATATACATATACTGGAGACCCTTTGTACAAATCCCCTCGTCCCTCAGTAAACAGACCAGCCCCTTCCACTCAGAGATGGCGGACCGACCACCACCAGTTACGCGTGCCCCCGCCATCCGGCCTCCTCGGGGCACCGCACCCACCGCCGTACAGTCTGCTGCTCACACGCTGCCCGGCGGCGTGCGGCGCAACCTCTTCCAGTCCCAATTAACCCGGCGACCGACCCCGACGTCCTCGACATCAGCCGAGACCCTCCGCCTCGACGTTGACGTGCTGTCTGACACGTCCGAGATCGTGATTCGCGACAAGAACGGCGAGTTTGAGATGGGCGACCCGCCGACGCCACCCATGGACGATCCGGAGGTGGAGGCTCTCGACGACATGCAGGAGACCGAACGTATGCTTTATTCCACTCCTCGAACACAACACAATGAATGCAAGATACAAAGAAGATTATGAGGATCGTCTAGGAGGAGACGCTGACCGGACTTGTTCACAGGAGAGAGGCAAAAGCTCGCTGAGGCAGTGAAGCATCACCAGATAAATCACAATCGCACACCAGCACAGCCAGAAGGTGGGTGTTCTTGTAATCTGTACTGCGATTTTTGTAGTGGAACTAATAGTGACACGTGGTAATGTAGAAGTGCTCGAGGCACTGCGCGCCAGCATGAGAGCACAGGTGGCAGCTCTGTCTGACGACAGTTGGATGTACGAGACTGAGGAGTCAACTCGAGGATAGGGAGCAGGTGCAGGATGGTTTCTCATTGTTTTCCCTTAACTGGTCGTATCTACGTATTCTCGTGCAAGACATGTCCAAACGATCCGCTACAAGGGGAGGTCTTGCGAAACCTCTAGTCCAAACCCTCCGCGGTGGGTAGAGGAGCAGGCGACTTTACGCCAGGTCTCCTAGCACCTGCGGCAGGGGCTCCACCACCAGGGGCACCTCCAAAGAGACCACTCATCATATCCATAAGGGGGTTGCTTTGCCGTGGCCTGGCAATACCGAAGTACATTTCCGCAATCATCTCTAGAGGTTCATGCCACAGGTCCATATCCTTGAGATTTGCCGCGTATTTCGTCGCCAGTTGCCGATATAGATCAGCACTGCCTCGCTGCACCGCAAGCAGAAGAAGGCCGAGGAAGTTGAGCAGAGGGATGCTGGGGAAAATGCGAATATCGGCGGTATTGCTGCTTACATCCTGGACACCAATGGCGCTACCCTTGTCCTGAATTAGGGAGCTCGCAAAGGTACGGTATGCGGTGTTGGCTGCCCTCACGTTGGCCGTCAGTAGATAGGGTAGGATAGCTCGGCTAGCATATAAAGCTGCGGTATGGGCATCATCTTCCTTGAACCACTCATATTCCAAGCGAGCTAGCACTTCGGCGGAATCTTTCGTGCCCAGCACTAAATGTCGTTCGGCCTCATACACCTCGTGTTCTTCTGCATAAAGTGACCCAGCAACATGGTGCAGCTCGGGATCGCCCGCCGGGAACTCGCCAAATTTCGATGACCATCTGCTCTCACTCACCATTAGCAAAAAGGGAAGAAAAACGAACCCCCTTTTCGGAGCTCCCCAATATACGATGACAGCTTTCGGCCAATCGATATCTCCTATCACCACTTACCCCATCATCTCCCCAATGAACTTCTTTCTCGTAGGCTCCTCCGCAGCAAACAGCCGCAGGCAGGTCAGTAACCGGCCCTTGTTGGCCGAGTCGGGCTTGAGCTCAGCCTGCTTGTACGTGTCGACAAGCAGCACGCAAAGGTCACCGCCGCTGCCGCCTTGGCCGGCCTTGAGCAGCGACTGGGCGACATTGTAGAGGATGTCGATGGCGGCGGGCCAGTTGGCGGCCTTGGTGTACCGTGCGACGACGACGCGAGTCTGCTGCTGCGCTTCGTAATATTGACCCTCGCCAATCCGAGCTTGGAGTCGGGCTATAATTTTCTCGATCTTGTCGCCCTTGGCAGCCATTTCTTCTGCTTTGCGTTCTCCGTTTAATCGATCGGCCAATTTTCGAAAAGAGCGTGAGGGGGACGGCGCTTGAGACTTAGTTTTGAGAGGCAGGTGGTCAGGACATGTATGCCATGAAGCTGAAGCGTGAGAGACGTATTTAGTGGGGGGGTAAGCTGTTTGGGCAAGCAGGGCTGTGACTGGTGACGACAGGTTCGGAGGGGCACGAGCAGTAACTGCCTAATAGCAGGTCCTCGATTGGTACCTTCCGTCTCCAATGGGGTCATTGATTGATGGGATGTGGCCATGTATTTACTGAGGCTCAGAAACTTTGCACCCTTCAATATCCCGTAATCGCATTATATTTTGATTACAATTGTTCCCTGTCCAGACGTTAATGGTTACCCGACCGCTACAAGCTAAGCTACGTTTTGTTGCCCTATTCTAATAGGCAGGGCATGAACAACAACATGCTGAATGCCTCCGTGCTGCCAGACACCATTCCCGAATTTTCTCCACCTCTGATAAGCGCTTGATGCTCAAAAGCATATGCCAGAGAGAGGAACTTTCTCTGCAGTGTATTTTGCTGGTCATAAGCATTGAAGAAGCTATGGAAGAGGGCAATAGTAGCTATCAAGGAGGCACACATGGTTACACAGGCGGAATTAAGAGAGGTAGCTTTTGAAGCGAGTCAGATGTTGGAAAGGATATAGGCCCACATTCGACTTTCTTGACTCGGCAGTGGCTTTAACAGCACTGGGAAAATTTAATTAACCAGTTCTCCAGCGGCAAATTTTCTTTTTTACCATCCCAACTTTCCCCTTCTCCCTGAGTAATATATGTTTTGAGCCTACCAATCGTGATTTCGTATCCACAAATATCGATCGAGTTCGCAGAGCACAGGACTCATGGATTGGCAGGTTTACAAGAGTGTCACCGCTGTTGCTCGTGCGCCGACACCTACAATTCTGGTGACTTTATAGGTACATACAAGTTGACGAGTGGATACGTTCCAAGCCATCACTGGCATTGATAGTGTAACGGTAACATTGAGGCTTCCCAATGCAGAATTGCCTTAGCCCCGGGTTCGACTCCCGGTCAATGCATTGGTCCAGATTGAATCTGGAATTCCTTTTTTTTGCTCCATCGACCAGAATATACAGGTGTCTTTTTGGTAATACTATATTATGACAGGCATTTTTTTTTCTTTCTTTCTTATGAATAGATATACAATCAGTAGTCTATTGCTCGCTTCTAGAAAGCCGAGCTACACAATGCTTAACAGTGCTGGTTCAATGTAGATAACTTGGCTCGCAGAACAAATCCATCTCATCATTCCTATCGCCTCTTGCAATATATTTGATACCTACAAGCTAAAGACGGGAGTATCTACCTTAACAAAAAATTCTTGAAGAAGTCACTGCTGGGATTGCTCAAGTGAATGAGCCAAGGTATACTAGAGAATGAGGATGGGGCGTCGTTGCTATTTACAAACCACTCCTGAGTTATGTTGATCGGATAAAATGGTATGGAATGGAATGCCTGCCTCTTAATTCCTTAGCAACTGAGGATAACACCCTGGGAACGTGCATTTCAGGATATTGCGCAAATAAATAGATTGGTCGGACTTCTAATACTAACGAGGACAATATCATTGATTCAAGTGGATGATAATTCTTTTTTCTTGTCGTTAACATTACTTGAATAATCGACGCCTTAATATAGACGTACATATATTGCATACTTCTATAAAGTAGTTGTGAACCTCCGTTTATAACACGTGGGCAATACGATTGGCTCTCTCATCTCTGGGTACAGAGCAGATCAAACAAGAAAATCTACTACTTCGTGGACCAAGGCTCATACTGCGTTCTTGTTGTAAATCATATCTTTCAATCCACACTAATCTCTCACTCTCTCTTATGGCTTCATAGAGTTTTAAATCGCCGCGGTTTATCGCGAAATTCGAGAAAGAGTGAGTGAAGATTGGCTGCGACCACCGGACCATTAATAATTACACAGCTAAACATATTCAAATTGATGGTTTCAAGAAGTCTACACCATCAAGTTGTTTTCCTCTCGACTAAAGACCAACCATAGTTATTCTGGGTGATGAAGGTTACCACTGAAAAGTTCGTAAATGAACATGACAGCCGCGGCACTTAGAGAGAACTGTACTGCCCCAAGTAGGGTCATAGTCTTGCCCTTCGCCTATTTACTCATAAGATCAACTACATCTTGTGGAATGACAGTGGATCAATGTAACCGGCTATACGTAAAGTAACAGTATAATACAGAGGTCAATGACATTCTTCTCCCATTGAAGCAATACAGCAGAGGACCAAACGGAGAAGACATGGGCACAGGATATTAGCCAACGTGAATCATTTCACGTCCAACTTTTCCTTAATCGAAATCAGGCATGCTATCCTACCTAAAATAAAGAAGGTCCCAAGCATTCTTCTTATCGTCGCTACAGTGTGGACCTTAACCAAACCAAGGGGGTTGAGACCTATTTTAGTTGCTACGGTTTGATAATATCAGTTTATTACATTTAAAGAAGGATACATTTAAAGAAAGAAGCATTCCCTGTACATGGAACAAGCTTTGATGGTCGTTGGAAGATTTGGAGCAGAGACCATATCCATCCCTTTCCAGTCTTGTTTTTAGCCATGTAAACGAATGATAGATAATATTTTCACGCACATTTCTGTATCCGAGATCTTGGAAAGTGAAACACACATGCCTGTACCGAGAATATGTTGTTCGCTTGGACATTTTGGCAATTATTAGTATAAGGCTATGTTGTTGCACCGAATCAGCCCTTACGTGATGCCACTAACAATTCTGCTCACTCAACTCGCCAGGTCACTAGTTGCTCAAAAACACAAAGAAGAAACAATACTGGCCATCACCGTCACACTATCGGCGTCTACAACCCATGTTTCATTTGGTATATATCTTGGTATGCTTGTGTGCCAAGTCGCTGTGTTATATTGCCCCGCACGGCGACTTGTACTTGCCCCTATTCCACATCTATTGACCGAAATAAGGGGCAAAGCTCACCGGATGCATACAAGGCGCTCCCCACGCGAGGAAAAGTGAGCATATGCAGGAGGTGGGTGGCGATAAATCTACCCATGTATTTTCTGCGATTAATATGATGATATCATCTGCTGCTCACACTAGATGTTACCGATCAACAAACGGGTATAGCTCGTGCACGTTTTGTTAGCTTTCATTCCATCCCTTCTCTGGAACATTCTGGGGAACTTTTACACTTTGTGAGTCGCAAGAGCCGTAATCCACGTCTGTGAATACCGACAATTCCTTCGCGCCTCTCGAGTCTCGAGGACAGCACTTCCACGTGGCTGGTTACGGAGCATGTTGTGTGTTTCACTCTAGCTGGGGTGGGAACTTTGGGACCCATCAGGTCCTTTGGGTGAAAAGAAAGTTCAGTATAACCGAAGTAGTGACCCTTTGCGTGGACTGGTACGGAAACCTGGGCGGCGGATTGATTAAGCGACGGTTAGTGGGATCACCAGAGACGTTCTTTCTATTGCGTGCGCCACCTTCGGTCAGAACTCCGAGAGTAGATAACCTACTTTTGTTTGGACGAGTATGATTGGGACAACAGACTTCGAAGTACACAGATATCAAGGCCATCAATAAGCTCGCCTGGTCGCCAAGCCTTACTCCTGTCTGTGGCTGACATCGCGTGGTTCTTCCCCTCGCCTCTCTCTCCCATCGCACGATTCTGTTGGGCGAAGTCGTACCCCCAAATTAGTGGATAGAGGCTCGGATGGTATCGCTTATGAATTTTGCAGAGTACATCCGAGTGCGGCTTGCTGACCCGGAAGCATTTGATGATGACTTTCGACGAGTTCATCAACGGTTTTACCGTGGTCCTTGAAGTTTTAGACGTTGAGCTCGAGCTGCTTGGGTTTTTGTGAGCTTCAAAAGTCGCCTAATAGTCCTCTCGTAGGGCAATTAAGTATCGCTGAGTACAATATAAACAGCGTTACACATCTAACCTAATGGTAAAGAAATGTCGTCGAAGTATTTCGGCAGCGATATCTCGATTCCCCAGTCTGCGAGATCATCAAATATGATCAACCTTCAAGAGAGCTTTCACCTGTATGTAAGGTATAGCATAGATGGAAGTTCATATCAAGGAATAGCTCGTCTATTAACCTTCGCAAATGAATACACTTGAGTAGATCCTCAATAGATCCGCTGGCATATTCATTTCTGTCACGTTAAGGGGATCGTTGAAGAAAACGTCGAGCGAATAACATTGAAATACCAAACTACTAAGCTTCATCTACATATTGGGATTGGGCACTCAAGTACGCCAGACTAGCCAAATGGTGTATTCCGGTTAGTATTCCAGTTATATCCCTATCGTGTGCGTGTGGGCAATCACACTGCCGCTAGGTTACCAGCGTGAGAGCTACAGTATTTGCGTGGGGCATTCCTGGCAAGAACGTGCTCCGAAGTTGATTTATCGGGTGCCATCATCCAGTCTATGAGGTTCTCCGTGGGGATATATATCATCCGAACGCAATCGGATACAGTGCATATCTTACCTCGTAACAGTAACATGGTGCTCAGAGATGTCGACGCGAGTGGATGTGAGGCTAGGAAAAGAAGCCCGACGGGTTTTGAATATTGAAGTTATGGGAAGTCACAACTCCTGGGGGGCCACGGTCCCGTAGGGGGGCATAATAGTGATGGTCATCAGCACACACCATCTTGGTACTTTGTCGTTCTGCGCTGTAACTTGTAGTGTCAGAAACCCTACACGAATATCATCTTCTTAAGGCCGTATAATAGATACGACTTGTTCAGATGAGACCAGGATAGGCAATCAGACTGAAATTTGCTTTCACCCCATGCGTTAGGTTTCGATGTTCAGCTATTGTGGTCAGGGCCATTGAACCGTATCTGCCCGCAGCCGATCTGTACATACGAATTAGCCTGCTCTTGGCCCAGCCAGAGGCAGGAGGTGTTACCGAAGACAGCGGCAGCAGGAGTAATAGCATGTCAATCCCGCTTCTGAGAGAGTAATTCAATCATGTAGCAGTACTTGCACAGTCACGGTAACCTGTCCCGAAGCGAAGCAGTTCATCATTGACGCCCCACCCCATGGCAAGGTCGAAATCGCCATCTTCTCCGAGCACGCCGACTCTCCAGGAGACCTCCCTTGGACAGTAGTCGCGTAGCTCTGTGGCTCTTGAGGCAAGCGGCCATGGTGATAAGGGGGAGTGGGGAAATTGACATCTTTTGGATCCCGAAGGGGGAAGCGGCATAGTACCAACATGATATTTTTTTTTTTCAGAAGTAGATCGCAAGTACATCGCTTTTCTCCCCCTTTCATGAAGGTTGACTTGACTTGTGGTAGTTGGAGCCAGCAGCTTCAACTGCGAAAAATCATCTGTTATGCTGGTGAAGAGAGGTCTCACCATTCCTCTTTGGCCGTAAGGTTGAACAGCTTCGGAAATAGCGTCCGTGAGGCCGGTGGCTGCATTTCCTATCTTAACGACCGAGCTGCTTGTGCAACTGGACGCTCTAGGGTAGAAAAACCACAACACGAAGCCCTGGGAAAGGGGCTATGCAAGTCTGGCCCCAAAGCGCAGCAATACCGAGCCGTTGTCCCACCTTAACAAAGGAAAGAAGATATGCTGGACTGCTTTCTGCGCTAGTGAAGAAATACCACCAGCACCCGTGCCGCATACACGCCAGGACGGCTTAGACGGTAAAGCTCATTACCGGCTACGGGTTTGCTCAGGTGTGCTCCAACTCATTTCGAGGACACGGAGGAAGACGCCTCCGGCAGCACACTTGAGAAAGAACAGCAAGCGCAGAAAGTATCAAACCTGAGGATGCAGATGCAAGAAGCTGGTTTTGCTGTCGACTTGGCCTGTTAAATCTCGGCCATTGGGTACCAAAGTCAATCCGATGCCGATCAATGGTAGGATCTGGGAGGTGCGGCATTGACTAACTTGGACCTCCATGGTATGGTAGCCAGAAGATCGCCGATAGATTCGTCTTTTGTCCTGGCACATCGCTCTATCTACATGCGGGAATTGGGGTATGTTACGAA